TCTTTCTTTGCTGACCACAGTCTATGCCAAAGTACAATCTGGTATAAAATATATAAGGTAAAAAATAAACCTGCAACAAACACTCAAAAATTTAAATATTTTATACAATAATATTTAATGTTTACATTTTGAACACAAAATGTTAGCATTACTCAGGTAATGACATTTCTGCAAAGATTGCAACTTTTTCAACTTTCGTTTGCAAGAGTTTCGCTTTTAATTTTGAATGACCAAGATATTTGCATCTAGTAGAAGCTCAACAAAAATTATACAGTCATTTATTATTTCTTCTTTTGTACTCCCATTTTCCTTCACAATGTTTAAGTTTTTTTCATATGTAGCCATAATGTTGTACAGAAAATTATAACAATAGCTGCCAAAGTCTAAAGAAAAACTTTGACAGATGAAACAAAAACCTGTGGAATCCAGTCAACCTTGTGTGTGTAGGTAGAGACAAACAGCTTCTGTGTCAGGGAGGGGTCCTCAAGGCTCCAAATGTGACGCTTATTTTTAAACGTATGGTCAATACAACTAATTTACATGATGTTCTACCTCATTTCAGTAAAAAATAATGTAGCTGCCAGCTGAGCAGCTGATGGTGATGACCCTTAATTGGCTCACAGAGTTCATAAATAAGCCACACCCTTCCAGAGGGGAAAAAATGTACTTGGGTTAATTTGTTTGTCGGAGAAGACAACATTGTTTGAAGTTTGACATCATGTCTTCAGTCTAAATTTACCTCAGCTGCACATTGCCCACTGCATCTCCATGTAAGTTTTGTTGTATTGATGCTTTGAGTAGGTAATTTGTTTATAATAATAATAATAACAATACATTTTTATTTGAGGGTGCCTTTCTCAAACCCAAGGTCACCTTACAAAGATTAAAACAAAAAACAACAGAGGTTAGATCGGGCAATAAGAACAAACAAGATGCATAAAAATTTGAAACAATTCTAAAAGGGAATAAACTTGTTTGAATAAGTGTGTTTTGAGGTGTGCCTTGAATAATGGAAAAGAGTCCGTATTTCTATGGCAGAGGGAAGTGAGTTCCAGAGCCGTGGAGCAGAGCAACTGAAAGCTCTGCTCCCCATGGTGGTAAGGCGAGCTCGAGGTTGAACCAGATGAAGTGCAGATGAGGATCTAAGAGATCGGGAAGTGGTTGCAATAGTTAGTAAGTTACATAGATAAAGTGGAGCCATGCTACGTATAGATTTAAATGTAAGTAGTAGGATCTTGTAAATGATCTTGGTTTCTATTGGCAACCAGTGTAGGTTTTAAAGAATAGGAGTGATGTGATCTCTTGAGGGGGTCCCAGTAATGATGCGTGCTGCAGAGTTCTGGAGAAGTTGGAATTTATGAAGGGATTTAGTTCGGAGACCAAATAGAAGGGAATTATGCAGCAGCATGAGGCGTGAGGAAAGAACTGAGTCTATTGATATTGCGAAGAGGGTAATATGTGACCCGAGTAACATGGTTAATGTGAGATTGGAATGAAAGTGTACCATCTAGTATGACACCAAGACTTTTTACCTGTAAAGATGGGTGAACTGTGGAGTCGTCAATATTGATAGAGAAATTGGGAGAATTTTTTAAAACAGAAGCGGTGTCAATGAGTAGGAGTTCCGTTTTATTGCTGTTTAGTTTAAGTAGATTCTGAGAGAGCCAAGATCTAATTTCAGATGGACAGAGAGGGAGATTGGTGGAAGAGATGCATTTGGATTGGAGGAAATGTACAGCTGGGTGTCATCAGCATAACAGTGAAAATCAACGTTGTATTTGCGGAAAATGTAACCAAAGGGGAGCAAATAGATGATAAATAAGAGAGGGCCTAGAACTGAGCCTTGGGGGACTCCTGCAGTAACCGGGGAAGGACTAGAAGAGTGAGATTGAAGTTGAATGAACTGAGTACGATCCGATATGTGGTGAACCAGGCTAGGGATGTGTGACTAATGCCGATAGATGCTAATCTTTTGAGAAGTATGCTGTGAGAAATGGTGTCAAATGCAGCACTTAGATCTAGTAAAACCAGAATGGAGAGATGGCCTGAGTCTGCTGCCATTAGATCATTTGTGATTTTTACTAGTGCTGTCTCCGTGCTGTGTTGTGGTCTGAAACCAGATTGGAATTGTTCATATAGATCAGGGGTCTGCAATCTTTCTGGTGATGAGTGCCATTTAAAATTTCATTTGAAGTCAGTTTGCCATTTCAACTGTTGCATAAAGCATACATTTAATAACACTCATCACTTCTATCTCTATAATGATACATACAATAATGAGCATTCTGTAAATTGTGATGTTTTCAAGATAGATAGTTCATTTTATACTGGATTTATTTACAGGGGTGGACCGTTAAAGCGCCCGAGAGCCAATGGCGCTAAATTTTCTCGTCGGGCGGTAAATACTTGACGACTTACCGCCCGGGTGGCGCCCAAGCTTTATTTGTCATTTACACACCGGCTTTCACCTACATCATGGCCCCGCCCTGTAGGAAGCTGCCGTTTTCGTTTCGCGCGCGTGAACCTGCGCGCCTCCAGCCACGTACTGCACTTGTACGATTCGTGCACGTCCTGCATGATTCTAGTTATTGTCACGTGAACTATAAGTTCACTATTAAAGACGAAGTGGAACCACGCTAGAAACACACAAGCACGCAGGAAGATCGCGCCACCACAGGGATTGGATTTCTTGATGAAATATCCGGCAAAACGCTTTAAAACTGGTGAGGAGAAGCTAGACAGTTCGAAACGGTATGAAGCAGAGAAGCGTGTAGGTAAGTGGAATGATTCTTGGAGGATTAAAGAAGACGGGAGGCGCGGAGAATGGCCGTATTTGAGTTGAGTAGCGGCTCGCCTGGAAAACAGACGAGAGCAGACGGAAGCAGCAGGGGGAGTGGCTGAAAGCCGGCGTTTAACGCCGGGGACACACCGGCCGCGAAAGCGCCCGAAGCGAATCGCTCACGAAGTCCGGCCGCTGCTCGCCGCTCCTCAGTTCAGATCAGACGCGCCCCATTCGAGGCGTGCCTCGGCTCAGCTGTAGTTTTTCTTTTAATTAGTTGGTGTCCTCCATTTCCTCAGCTCTTTTCCTCTGTGTGTGTGTGTGCGTGCGTGCGTGCGTGCGTGCGTGCGTGCGTGCGTGCGTGCGTGAGTGAGTGAGTGAGTGAGTGAGTGAGTGAGTGAGCGAGTGAGAGATGTGAACCAGTTGTTTCTGCCAGTTGAATCTCTTGGACTTCCCTACATGTGTAGCTCGGGGGTGACGATGGATGAAGATATCGCGTTAGCAATCACACTTGTTCAATTTTCAGTTTTAATTCTGGTGCCTGTTAGCAGCAGAAACACATCCTCACGTGCTTGTGGATATCATATATTCTATATGAAAACATGACTGTAATAATAAGTAAAGGTTATCAGCTGTTCAGTGTGCTCATAGGAAACGTGACAAAAGAACACAAAACACATTTCTCCTTATGGCCTATATTGTTGTTATCATCAACGTAACATGATTTACAGAATACATGTGACCAACTAACATTTCATGTTCTACCACCGGATGTTTGGATCAAAATATGAACCAATCAAATCTTAGATCAGGTGAGAGCCAGGTGTTTCCCGTCATCCCCTAGGTTTTGCAGCCGAGGGAGAACAACTGCAGCGCCTTGCTCCAAAATCTGCGGCCGCCTTGATCTCACAAGGTTATCGTTGCCTACGTAGGCATGATGTAAGAGCAAGTCGGCGTCAATTCGGACACAAATCTAACCGGCATGCACTGCTCGCCGATCACTGCTGGTCTAATCTGCGCAGAACTGGCTCATCTCGAACACAGTCAATGGCTCGAATACAGCAAAGCGGAGTTGGTGATGTACTGAGTTGTATGCCGGAAGTATGCGACGACAAAATCGTGTTTTGTTGAGGGAACAAACAAATTCAAACTTGAATACATTATTATGTTTGTGAATGTGTACAAAATAAAGGTTTATTACATTTAAAACGGTTCAGTTGTTATTTTGACTCGTTTTGGCGGCTGACCAGCGGGGCCGGTAAATATTCAGACTTACCGGCCCCGCTGGCCGGTTGGTTTTGAAGTTAATGTCCACCCCTGCACTGCATAACAACAATTACACATTATATACTGTGAATTTTACAGTCAGATCCAGTATTGGGCAGCATAACATCTGTTTTCCACTTCATCCTAAAACTGAATTTTACGGCCCCCAGCTCATCTAGGAGATGATGGTATTGAGGGCGTAAAGAAAGATATGTGAAATACCGGACCAAACCAAGGTTCACTCTCTTAGAGGAGTTTATTAACTAAAAATCATTGCTTTATGCAGGCAAAGACAAAATGAATACAAAACTAAAAGGACATCCACACTGGGGAATTAACAATACTAAACAGAAGGATCATCCAATACTGGGAAAACAACACTAATATCTATAAACACAAAACGCCGGTACCAATCCGGGAAACTAAAGGAATGAAACAAACACAAAAAGCTCCACCAAAAGGGTGAGCTGAACTCTTTAACGAGTATTCTAACAAAACAAGAATCGAGCTCTATAACGAGGAAGAATAACTAAACCACACAGGTTACACAAACGAGACTATTCAGTCAGAGCTAGGAGGGAAACGAGGATCGCTAGCTTTAACGCACAGGCCTCTGCTAAGCTTCCCTCCTCGAATGACAGAGGGAGCTGGCTTTTAACACAGAAGATCACTGATTGATTGATTAGCAACACCTGGCTCAGCTGGAGCCAGGAGAACAGGAGGAGCGCTGAGGCCATTTTGTGGCCACAAAACGGACAGCGTCCGTAACACTGAACTTCATAGAACTATATTTGTTGACCGGTGTTGGCAAAGGGTAGATCAGGTATTTTGAAAAACCCTATTCATAACAAGAACATCAAAAGACATACACCACAGAAAATACAATATTTAAGGTGTCACAACAAAGATAAGAAACTAAACTTGGCCAATATATGTTATTGTAAGGATAAACATGCTAATGAGATTTCTGCCCCTGCTTTGCATTTGCTAGTTCAGTTATCTGGGGTTCACACTTAGTAACTTTCAGGAGCACACAGGTCTCTGAATGTCCAGCAGTTAGACAGCTACGGGAGGCACTGAGGACACTCTTCATATGAGAGAAAATCTGCTCACACAGATATGTAGAACCAAATACTGTCAATAAAGCCTGTGCAATGTTCTTGAGACAGTTAAACCTGTCTGGTAGTGATGTCCAGCAACTGAAAATGCAAGCTCCATGATCATGCACAGCTGTGGATTCCAGCTGCTGCCGTAGTTCTGCAAACTTTGTCCCCCACAGAGTTGAGCTTTTCAGTTCAATCAGCTGCATTTCCATGTCGTCTGTATCCAGAAAGTTAAAGATAGACAAATCCAGCTGATTACCAAAGCTCTCTGGTCTGATCAGAAAAGAAAACATTGGTCCATACAACTGAAAGTCCTGAAAACGCGTTATGAATTCTGTCTGGAGTCTTCGGATGCATTCATGTATTGCTGTGGTGCTGATGCTGCACTGAGCAGACAGCTCCCTGAGGTGTTTGAAGTGGAGGAATGTGGAAGTTTCAACATCCTTTAAAAAAACTTCCAGCTTTCCAACAAAAGCTTCCCAAGTGTCACGCATGTCCAAAACAGTTTGACCTGCTCCCTGCAGTTTGAGATGAAGCTCGTTCAGGTGTCCAGTTACATCTGCGAGGAAAAAGTTTTTCAACCCACCTCTCATCTTCAAGTTCAGGATATCTTTGCCCCTTTTCATCCAGAAATGTTTTTACCACATCAAAACAATCCACAAATCGTTCCAGAACCTTTCCACAGCTAAGCCATCTAACAGCACAGTGGAGCGGGATGTCTTTGCATGAGCTTTCCATCTCCTCGAGCAGAGACTGGAATTGGCGGTGAGTCAAAGCAGATCGCTTAACTATGAAGTTCACAGTTTTTGCCACTGTGGCCATGACATCATTAAGATCTGAATTTGACATCTTGGCGCAGAGGTTTTCTTGGTGTATTATACAATGCAGTTTCATGATGGGATGGCCTATTTGTTCCTCAATTAAAGTAACAGCCCCCCTGTGTTTCCCAACCATAGCTGGTGCACCATCAGTTGTCACAGCAAAAATCTTTGCAATGTCAATGCCTCGTTCCTCAAAACGCTCCATAAAAACGTTGGCAATATCCTCACCTCGTGTTGTTTCAGGCATCGGGGTAAGGCAGAACAGTTCCTCTTGCACTGTCACATCACAGTATCTTACCATTACAGCCAAACGTGGCACATCATTGATATCAATGCTTTCATCCAAAGCCACACTTAACACCTGGGCATCTTTCAAACCAGCTGTTTGTTGGGCCCTGACATTGTCACCCATTTCCTGGATGCATCTTTCCATAGTTCTGGCTGATGCAGGTATGTCTTGAATCCTTGCTTTAATCGTATCTTTGTTTGGAAGCCCATCAAATAACACGTCTGAGGTACAGAGAAATGCCTCTTTAATAAAGTTACCATCAGTAAATGGCTTTCCATGTTTAGCAATACAGTGTGCGATACGAAAACTTGCTTCAGTTCCACGATGTTTAGTAGCTGTAAAAACTTTCAGAGTACTTGCTTGCTTCTCATATCTTGACACAGCACGTGCAATTGATTCAGCCTTCTCTTCCTCGTCCTTGAAATCTTTTTGATGTTTCGTCTCAAAATGCCGCTTAACACTGGAGGTACGGCAAACAACACTCTCGAGGTAAAAAGCACACACAGCACGATCCCTTTGCTCATGGACGTAATTTGGGGGAGGGGGGGGGGACAGGGGGGACATGTCCCCCCCCCCCCACTTTTTCCAAAGTCAAGTTTTGACCCCTGCACTTTTTACCATCCAAAAACAATATTACGCTATATTAAATTGACACTGGTTGAGCTCTAGGACCAAGCGGAAAACAACCGTTTGTGTTGAAGCCGGTTTCCCATTAGAACGTACTGTAAAGACCCCCCCCCCCCCCCCCCCACTTCTAAAGTGAAAATCACATCCATGCCTTTGCTGCACAAAACCCCAGTCTTCTGTCCAAGTTGTCATAAAAGACCTGGAATTATCTTTATTTGCTCGCTTAGATGCCATATTTTACAGGGCTAACTAGCTAGAAACATCCTCCTCACTGTACCGGCAGGTAGATTAACGTCATCGAGAAGCGGCCTGAATGACGTCTTTTCGCGCTAATTTGGGATTTGGACCGGCGGGCCGTGGCGTTTTATTACTAATAATAGGCAGTTATTTCCGTCTTTCCGTTTATTTTTAACTTCCAAATATCACAGTGACTGCATCAACAACTGAGATAATCCCTGAACAACAAGACAAAAACTAAAAATATCCACCCGAACCTCCTCTTATGCTCTGCCACGTCTTTGCTCCGACACACACGCACATGCGTTGCCAAGGCAACCAGCCGACAGAGCGCTTCGCCAGGCGGGAAAATTGAGAGGTCACATTTCAACTTTTTAACGCATTTAATGACCAAACAAGAAAACAAAAACAATTGACAGAAAATTCAGTCCGTTAACACTTATTTTTCAACACATCTTCTCAGATTAATGCGCTGTGCCATTAGTTAACCCGTTGCGTGCCAACAGTGGCACGAGTGCCCAGGGTTGCTGACCCCTAACAGATTATGAGAATCAAGAAGAGTGAAGCTGAGAAGCAACAACTTTTTCAAGGATTTTGGAAATAAATGGTAATTTAGATATTGGACAAAGATTATCAAAGTTGGTGGGATCCGCACCGGGCTTTTTGAGAATCGGAGTGATACAGGCAGTTTTTAATGCTGCAGGAACAACTCCGGTACTGAGGGAATAAGTAAATGATGGTGGATATGAGAGGAACCAGTGATGGAAGACAGGCTTTAAGTGTCACTGTGGGGAGAGGGTCAAGCAGACAGGTGGATGATTTGGATTCCCTAATTAAATCTGATATCTCAGTTGCAGAGGGGAGACTGACACTTGAGAATAAATGACTTGGAGTTGACAGGATGGGTTCAACTTCTGAAAGAGGATCTTTAGTAGCGTGGAGTTGTTGGTGAATATTTGAGATTTTGGATGTGAAGAAGGACATGAGGGAGTTGCAATAGTCGGAAGAAACCATACGGTTAAGCAATAAATCAGGAGGCTTTGTTTAAATTAGAATAGTAAACCGATTTAGCTGTGTGAATGGAGCCTTTATAATACAATAAGTGATTCTTATATAGATCTTTATGGATTGTGAGGCCGGTTTTCTTGAACAAACGTTCCAGTCTGCGTCCTTCGGATTTAAGACTGTGAAGGTCGT